CTAAGAACACAGTGGGTTACAACTCTATCCCTCAAAAACAGTTTCTAAAACTTACCTGTCAGCTCTAATGCTCACGCTTTGATCATACATGCTTTGATTAAAATTTGTGATTGCCTAAAGGATGCCAAACACCAAGTAATCATACAGATAAAACTAATAACAAGAGGCCAGGGTTTTAGCTCAGCAGGACAAGTACCTGGTTGGAAAGCGTGAGGTCCTGAGTTAGATCCCTGGCACACACACAAAACACTAGTAACAAATATGCTAGATCCCTTTTATATTCCTTTAAGACAATAAATAAAGTTGTCTGGCTCTTACAAACTGCTTCACTAAAAGGGGACCCCATGGGCTGAGTGTTTGGCTCAGAAGGAGAGTACTCAGTAAGTCTTCTGTTTGATCCCCAGCTCCATAAAAATACAAGGAAATAAAGTGGAACCTCTGTGTCCTCAGAGACGATAGTTAAGAACAGGCCTATGCACGTTAAAACAGCTGCACAGATTCAATTTTATGTAAAACTTTAAAGAGTGATCACTGTATTCCTTCTCCATTTAAGAGTCCACTTGTGCCTCTTCTTAAACCTGGAAAAAATAAAATGCTGTAGTTCCACCTGGTGAGTCCCTCACACCTGTGGTAGAAAGTGCCCACCCCACCAGCCAGTAGACTTCCGTTTCTTAGTTGCCCAGACAACAGTTCCGGTTGTAGTTTGGCTGCTCCTGTCTGTTAGAAATGGCTGGGCACTGTGATGCACATTGTGTAAACCAATCCCCAGTCGACGAGCCATCCTGCCTCTGTGCTTCCTGCTTGCTTATCTCATATAAGCCCTGGACCCCCAGAGGTCAGTTCCTGATAGTCTGGGAATGATCCTGATCAGTGCCCATCAATGTAAGTAAATCTGCCTCCAAATCCTGGGTGTCGTTCTGGTGTTCCTGCTTGCCATTGCATACCCAATACAAATACTGTTAAAATTGCTAACTGTGCCCAGTCCACAACGGGTAACTGTCTTACTGTTCTAGCTCTGGTGGAAAGGCTTTATTAAGTATCTATTTTAACAGCCTTTCAGTCAAGTTTACGTCAACTCCTGAGGGACCCAACATACCTTACCTCAGGGCGCTGTCCTTGAGTATAGTCTTGGGCAAGACTTAATTTCATGTGCTCTTCTCTAGGAGCACTGTATGCCGTTACATTGACGTTCTCCTCTGGGGAGATTTGCTTTACACAAGTGCAACATCTTGTAGCCCTGCTGAGATTCTGCACCAAATTGTCCTCAGTTACAAATTTTACATAGTCCTATTGCTGCTGTTTCTTATAAACCAGCCACCTTAAATGGGGTTCCCTCTAATAATAGTCTGTAAAATGTGTCCAAATTACAATAATCAGATAAACAATCCAGCACACTATTAATAACAGATGCCCCAATTTTTTTGGGGGGGGGTTCTTTTTGAGACAAGGTTTCACTATGCAGTTCAGCCTGGCCTCAAACTCACAGTGATCCTCTTGCCTCCGCCTCCTCAATGCTGGGATTACAGGCATGTGCTAATATGTCTAGTATGTATCCCAACTCAGGGCCATATGATTTAAAATCTACTTGCGAAACATCCCCTCGTTACACACAGATACCATGGATCTTTATTCTATTTTGTCTTGTTTGACTTTATTGTATCTGATAGCATAGGCAGCTACTTCAAAGACAGCAAGATATATTAGGGTAGCCATTTTGGATTTACTATTATCTTGTTTTGAAGTCCTGTATTACATTCATTATTTTGTTTTTATTGGTTCTATTCTGTTCTGTTTTGTTTGATTTTTACTATGTCTGATGGTATGGGCAGCTATTTTGAAGACTACAAGAGGCACTATGGTAGCCATTGTTGATTTCCTATTATCTGGTTTTGAAAGGCTGTATCACTTACATTCTTTTTATGACTTTATCCTGTTTCATTTTGCTTGGTTTCATTCTCTTTAAGATAAAAAAATATCTTTAAAAAAGGCCAGACATGGTGGTACACTCCTGTAATCCCAGCATTTGGTATTGTTGCAAGTTCGAGACCAGTCTGGGCTACAAAGTGAGCCCAAGGCCAGCCTGAACTACATGGAGGGACCCCGTCTCAAAAAGACAAAATCAATAGATAAATAAAAAATAAGCACAACAGAAGCTTTTCAATTTTCCTATTAACCCTAGAAGTAACACAATCACCTACTGTCATAGCAGAATCACACAAATTATTGTTGCTTACATAATAGATACTATTCATAATTTAAAAGATATATGCATAATTTAAAGGATATAAGCTATGCAGATGTGTGGCCTTTCTCCCAGGAGAACCATAAAAGCACATTTTGCGCAGTATCCTTCTTCCTGCACTGGAATGCATTTTTGGAACTAGCAGATGAAAATATATGTTATGTTTGCCCAACTATAGCACTCCTTTTTTAAGCAGCCTGAAGCGCTATGCACGGCTTTGTAATTATGCAGGAGGAAGCATTTTGACTTCAGATAACAGATGGCAAACAGCACTGTGCATGCTGCAAACCAACTCAGAGACAGCTGTTTCAGGAACCCTTGATTACTCATTCATCTAGGGTTAGAGACATTGCATAATTGACTTCATTCTTCTAGAAAATCATATTCTACATATATATGCATACACACCAAATTTATTTACCATAGCAATTTAAAAGGCCAGGTGTGCTCAATTAAAAGCTTATTTTTAAATTAGAACTTTTTCATTATCTTCAGACTAATAAATATCATTGATATGCTTATATGATTGATTGATTGCCACATTTCTTAGATACTTATAGAGAGAGGGAATTAAATTGAGAACTAATATTATTTTCTCTCCACCTCTTTAGGAGAAAGATATTTTATTTATTTATTTATTTATTTATTTATTTTTGGTACTGGGATTGAACTCATGATCTTGCACTTGACAGGCAGGCACTTATGCTACTGAGCTAAATCCCTAGCCCTGAAGAAAGACATTTTAAATTTAACATTTATTGAACATTTTCCTTCCAGAAATGCATGAGATCATCCACATTGCCCACATCTCATGAACAGATATCAATCCATCAATAAAATAAAGGTGATCTGCTCTCCACTACCTGTCTGCCTGAGAAAAATTATGTCCTTTATGGAAGATAATAAAAATCACCAGTCACAATTTTTCATTGTTAGTATCTGATATTCAAAAGATAACCAAGTTTGATCGGGAGCAAATGAACAAAAATAGAACCTGGGTGATTAAATACTGGAGTCACCTGACAGTCTTTGAAATAATATTGATTAAAACTTTCCAGAAAACAGACAAAAAGATAATTTCACAAGAGAGCTTGGACTTACACAAATCCTGGAATCAAAACATACAATAACTAAAAAGAAATGTATTTGATAGCACATTGAATATCATTTCTTTACACGTTTGTCTTTGTGGCTTATGGTTTTAGAGATTTAATAGCTCACTAACTGCAGCTACTACAAGCTCGTAGCCTCCAGTATAGTGTATGTATACATAGTGTTTCTACTACATTGAGCAGAATGCAGAATTTTTTTGGTAGAGACATAATTTTGAAACCAAGATTTAAGATTTCAATTAAAACATCTCCTCTGGGTGTAAGACAATTAGAACAAGCAGAGTTCCGGACGGTGAAAGGAGAAAAAGACTTCAACCTTGTCAACAAGACTATTCCTTGAGATGTCTTTCAAAAACAGCAATTCGATATAATTCCTGTGATTTAGGACCCGGGTGGTGTCACTGTATTCAGGAAATTGAGAAAAGGTAAACAGCATGACCCAAAGCTTGAGGTGAAAGTGGAGTCTGACAGAGTCCAGTGTAAGAGTGTAGAATATGAAATGATTAGGAAGTTAAAACATGTAAAGATGTCTCGGCAAGAAGATAAAAACATACTGCGCAATTGAAAAGACTCAAAAGTTACTGGCAGTTTAGTACCCCTTTCTTCCGTGTAGATCACATCTAATTAACCTGCATGGAGCAAAAATAGTGAAATTACGATTTTTCCTCTTGACCTTTTAGTATCCTTTTGATGTTACACTGCTGTCTTTCAAGAATAGATGTGTGATGGTCAAACTTGATTGTCAGTTTGACTGAATTAAAAGAAGCCTAGAGCAGTGGCTGGAGGGTGAAGGGGCTAAACTCATCAGTAGATGAACCCATTGGCTATTCTGAGGTGGAGCCTGGATGGAGGAAGCAGGTAACTGGGGGCCATGCCTCTGAAGGGCATTTGCTTTTTCAGGGTCGGTACCTTTCTTCTTGCTTCCTGGATGCCTTTCCACAGAATGTTTCTACCTTACCACAGGCCTAAAAGCAATAGAGCTAGCTGACCATAAGACAAAATATATCTTTCCTCCTTTAGGTTGTTTTTGTCAAGTATTTGGTCACAATACAAAAGACTAGCAGAATCAGAAAAATTTGGGGCTCTCCCCTCGGCAGTAAACTCAGTTTCTGTCTTTCAACAAGCGTTTGTTCCAAATGTGAAACGCAGTGTGCCTTACCTTCAATGCCCAACGCAACTCAGCCAAAGTCATTCTTAACTTACCAATTTAATCTACTCTTTGCTTCCCCTAAACACTTTGTGGGAGTTAACTTATTTTCATAATACAGGTTTCTAATACCGCTGCATATGTTAAAAATTACCCATCGCTTTTTCGTGTGCGCTTTAAGAAATGAATAAAGAAGAAATCTGAGGGTAATAGTACTAGAGAAATGACTCCTATCAAACTTACCTGAGTCAATACAGAAACCAGCCCGCCGCGAGCATTCTGGGAAATGTAGTCCCAGCGGTGCGAGAGCGCGGAGGCACTTCCGTTTAGAGGTTCGGGGACATGGAGTCCGGTGCTGGGGCGGGCGGAGGCACTTCCGCTCCAGACGGAGGGCTCGGCCCGGTGATTTCGCTGGGGGGAAGGTGAGCGCGCCGCGGGTCTCAGCGACCTCTGGAGCCCTCTCGGCCTGGGCGCGCGGCTGGCGGAGCCTGGGTCCGTGGCCTGGGGCAGAGAAGCCAGGGGAGGGCCGGGGGCGGGGAGCGGGAGGCGGCGGCTCGCGCGCGCCCCGAGTCCGAGGTCCCCCGCGCCCCGCCGCCCCGAGTCTCCGCTCGCTCAGGCCAGCCCTGCCTCTTCCTCGCGGCGGCCACTGGCCAGGTCACTTCCCGCCTTGGCTTAGTTCCCTCGTGGCCGTCAAGGGTTCATGGCTTCCAGGTTGCTTTTTTTGTGAGAATTAAAGGAAATCGTACAAGTGTAAGATGCTTTAAAATAATGCGTAGGACAGAGAAAATGTTAGAGGTTCCCTTGAATTTCGCGGTAATCATCGGGGAGGCGCCCCGATGTCAGTGAGCGCTGGACGGAGTGGAGTTCTGGCTGCCGAGCCGCTGCCCCTTTTCTTTGATCGTTGCCGGCTTTGGGGTTGTTCCCACATTTTTTAACTCGTTGGAGCTGCCTCTGTAAGGAGGAGATTTCTTCCAACAAGAGTATGGGGAAAGGTCATGTGTTCATACTGGACGGAGAAACTAGCTCTATCACAGATTTGCGGAGTGCCTGACATGATGAAAGGCCTTAAGAAATTTTGTGCAACACAAAATGTAGTTTCTTACATTTGGGAAAAGACACTTTGGTCAGCTGCGTCCAGGTTATCATTTGCAAGTAATTATGCTTTCTAGAGAGAAGAAATCCATGATAAATTACTGTTATTAATGGAACAAATTGTATATGAGACACCTCACACATCCGAACTTCTGAGAGTGACAGTTGCGCATATCACACAAAACAATTGTTTCTGAGTTTCTGAAAAGCACATTCCAGCAGAGCTTGGTGGTACACGCCTATAATCCCAGCACTAGGGAGGCTGAGGCAGGAGGATTGTTGCAAGTTCGAGACCAGCGGGGGCTACAAAGTGAGCTCAAGGTCAGCCTGAAATGCATAGCGAGACCCTGTCTCAAAGAAAAACAAAAAACACACAAAAAAGCAGATTCCAATAGGAAGTTTTGTTTGTTTGTTTTTTAAGCGTAGTAGCACCTGCTTGTTTGAAAGTACAGGAAGTAGAGCATATTATTGGCCCATTTACAGCGAGGGAGGTGTGGTGGGTTTCAGAGACATTAATCATTTGCTCAAGCTTCGCACTGCTAGTTGGTAGAAAATAGAGATGGCAGAATTTGCACCCAGGCATTTTAGCCGCATTATGATGACAAGAAGCATTGAGGACAGAACTGTTAGAAGGGTTGTCTGTGAACGAAGAAGGTGGCTGAGGGGGCTCAGGCGTGTGGTAGGAGTCTGGCCCTTTTTCTCACCAAGCTGAGGGCAGCTGTGGCTGCCTGGAGAGGGAGGCACCTGTTACACCCAGAGCGCACCGTGCTCTAACAGCACCCGGCAGCTCTCATGAAGTCTTCTCCTCCCCAGTCCGCCTGCCCACACCCGGCCTTTTTCCAGAGGAAAAGAACAATGACCAAGTTCCAGGTAAGTTCTTTGCCTTTATGTTTCCTAAAATGACGTCTTATTTTTATCATCCTTGGGAAAAGTCAAAGGATACCAGAGGCAGCGTTAAATGCCAGGCTCTCACCTTTTATTTCCAAATAACAGTGTGAAAAGTTAAATTTCATTTAAAAGGAAAAACTTTGTAAACATGCTTAAAAATCAGTGCCTTCATTTCCCGCATTCCTTCCCAGTGCACATACAGGTGTAAATTCATAGCCGCGCTTTGGGTACAATCTTGTGCTTTCAGGTTGTGTGTTAGTTCACCTACAGTTAAATGGTCACTTCATTTTCTATAGTTTGCCTGATTTTATTTTTCTCCTTCATATTCCTGTGCTTTATGAATTTTGCTGTTTGGAAGACATTTGCACTGACAGTGTGTACTGCCTTTTTTCCCCAATGAAGAAGTCTGAAGATTCTGTACTTTTATCCTTTATGTTTTAGAAACTAGTTGCTGGGCTGGGGATTTAGCTCAGCGGCATAAATGCCCGCTTGCAAGCATGTGGTTGTGAGTTCAATACCCGGTACCGATAAAAAAAAAAAAAAAAGAAAGAAAGAAAATAGAAGCTTGTTTTCCCCTGTGTGGCACCTTATTTTGCGGAAGGAGTTATACGTGGCTTGGATTAACAGGATTCAGATGACGCTGACCTCAGAGGGAGTAATGTTAGCAAACAAGAGACTAGAATTTTTTCTTTAATTCTAAGTCATTTTTATAGTTAATTATCTGCTTTAAACCTGTATTTTAAAGTAGTACATACTTATTTTTAAAATATAACAGCCTTTCCAGGTATGGATCAGCTCGGTGAAAAGAGGGATTTGTAAAGCTTTCGATGCCTGCTGATGTCTGCGCGGGGCTTAGACATTTTTAATGCCTAAGCCAGATTTTTCAGATCGCCATTCAGGCACTGCGAGAACAGGAAGAAAAGAGAGCTCAACACTGGGGACCTGAAGCTGATTTCCCCGTGACCCTGGTGGGTCCCGGTGGATGAGGGCTCCCGAAGTAGCACTGTCCTCGCCTGTTCCTCTCCTAGGACTGGTATCCCCTGGTCAGTGAGCACACACATGCTCAATTCCAAAACAGAGCAGAAAAGCAGAATCTTTTTCAGAATCCATGCTGAAAAACACCGCACACAGAATTTTAAGGCAGACAAAGATAGGCATGGGAAGTTACCTTTGCCTGAAAGGTTTAGTGTTCATGATTGGAATCTTCCTGACACGTAAGTCACCCCAGCAGGACTGCGAGAGTAAAGGAATAAATGATACATAAATGCTTTTTTAATTAAATAAATGGAAGTTATAAAAAAGTACTGTTTTTATTGGTTGCCAAATTATTCAATATTTTAAAAAAATAGTGGCGAATCATAGACACATGTGCTCTTACAGGACAAATTAATTGGGAAAGTAGCCATTAGCAAAATGAAGATGCATTTTTTTTAGCCGCTTATTGTAACAAAATAACTGGACAAAGTTAGCTGAGATCTGTGTAAAAATGCTTCTTGCAGCATTGTTTTATAATAAAGTTATTGAATTATTTATTTGTAATGATCAATACATTATAGATCATCACTTTTATAGAGTACTCGGCAGCCATGAACAGAATCAAATAGGTGATGGAATGATACTGGCATTTTGGGGCACCCGTATCAGATCCTGTCCTAAGTCGGGTCCTCCGTCTCTTCAGAGACCTCGTGATGTAAGTCCTGTGACACAGACCAGGAAGCTGAGGTGCTAAGAAGTTAAAGACTCAGCCAAGGGCCTGGGACTGTTCACTGAGGCCGTTTCCCGAGCTGTGCTCCTCACCTGGGCCCTGAATGCTGCCGTGGTTATAGATCCTGGGAATACAGAGAATGAACTACGTTATCTGCCCTGGGGAGTTATTTGGCACCCCTTATCTGAAAGGCTTGGGACCTGCAGTGGTTCAGGTTTCAGACAGTTTTGGATTTTGGAATAGTGGCATAGGGGGTGGAGAAAAAATGGCGGCGTGCTAGGGGATCGAGCGAAGAATCTCTCCAGAGAATTCAAACTCAAAGCTAAAAAAAAAAAAAAAAAAAAAAAAGACAGCATGGAGAGGACCAGACAAATCCATAGCGATTCTTATCAACCAAGACAGTACAGCTGGAGGATTTAAAGTCGTGCTGAGACCGGAGGCTGCAAATCCCGCGCCCTTAAATCAACGAACAGACTCGTGGACCCAACACGAAAAGCTGAGTTGCTTTTGGGGACTGCGGAAACTGAGACTCAGATCGAGACTCCAGGCGGCAGCCAGTTCTGCACCGCTGCACCAGAGCAGATGTACAGAGCTCTGGCGTTTCGAATCTAAACGGTGCACAGAAATCTGACCAGTCAGCGCTGAGCCGCGAGGTGGGGAAAAGTGGATGGCTTGGTGTGTGGCGGTCCCGGAGCGGGGACTTGCACCGGACTCTGGTGAGTATAGAAAACCCCGTGGCGGCTGGGTTTGGCCAGAGAACAGCTGGCCCGCCACCACGGGGAAATCAATAACACAGAATCTGGTGCAGACATATTAGCCTGGCGGCAGAAATCGCAGCTTGGTGACATCACCAGGACCCCCTGTAGGGAGGGCTGGTGGAAGACATCTTGAGTCCTGGCAGAGTCTGATTGCTTGCTGGCTTCAGCTCCGCACGGAGAACTTAGTGGGAGCCATCTTGGTTTTGGGCAGATCTGCTTTTCTAGAGCTCCTATCACAGAGAGGTTTGGAAGAGAACGGCTGGGACCTGGGCAGAATCCTGTGCCATTACCCAGCTGCTTCTGATTCAGGGAGAACTGGCAGGAGCTGTTGGGGCTAGATCAGGCCTCTGCTTGGGGCCCAATGGGCGGATGCAGAATGGTCACAACTCAGTGACAACCAGAAAGTACAGCCTAATTTATGAACTAACTGACACAGAGGCTAGAGACTAGACTGAACCGCCCCTGCATCCCAGCCTACCCCAGATAACAGCAAATTGGGGAGGACAGCAAAAACTCAAGCCGGCACGCTTCTGAAAGGCCCTAAGCAATTCGGAGAGGGCCAGAGAACTCCAGGACAGTCTGAAAGAAACCAGAAACATGACAAGAGATAAAAATAAAAAAAAATCTCCAGCTGTTCAACAGGAGAAATTAAACCCAAGAGAACTAAACACTGAAGAGAACAAGCACAGTAACCATCCATTGCTCAACTCAGCATCAGCCGAAATTAAAAAGTATTTACATGATCTCATAGAGGAATTTAAAGATGTACTCCTGATCCAAGTGAGGCAAGATATAAAGAGATTAATTAAAGAAATGACAAGCCCTGCCCAAGAGAACACAGATGGAAGAACTGAGGAAATCAGAAAAGAAAGAGAAGCATCTGAAGAATTTAAGCATAACTTAGAATACATGAAACAGATCCAAAGAGAAAATCAGGAAACTAAAAACTCCATTGAATATTGGCAAAATGCCTTGACAGAAACTAAAGACAACCTTCTGAAACTTGAAGAGAGATTTAGGGCTTATGAACGTGAAAGAAAAAGCCTCTTAAAAATAACAAGGAACCAGAAAGAAGCAATTCTAAAACTGGAAGATGATAAAAAGATGCATAACCTAAGAATAAAGAATGTGAATGAGGAAGCAGGAACATCCAAAAATGAAATACAAAAAATATTCACAGAGATATTAAAGCAAAATTTCCCATGTATAGCAAAAAGAAATGATATCCAGATAAAAGAAGCATACAGAACGCCAGCTACCTACAACCAAAACAGATCTACGCCTAGGCATATAATAATCGAGATCCCAGAAATCCACCAAAAAAACAGAATATTAAAAGCAGCCAGAGAAAAGATGCAGGTTACCTATAACGGGAAATCTATCAAAATAACGGCAGACTTATCAACACAAACTCTTAAGTCAAGAAGGGAGTGGGGAGAAATATTCTAAGTCCTGAAGGAAAAAAATATGCAACCTAAGTTCTTATATCCATCAAAACTCTCTCTAAAAATTAATGAAGAAATAAGATACTTTCAAGACAAGGAGGAACTGTGGGAGTTCGTGGCCACCAATCCAACCCTACAGAGAGTGCTGAAGGACATTACAGAGAAAGAGAGGAAGAGATATCAGGATTACAGCTACAGTGGCAGAGAGGCCTCAGTGTACGGGGCAGACCATGGAATGAGGGAATAAGGTGGACAAATTATAGCAGAAAAGTGGAGTAGCAGACATGAGGCAGAGACGGTAAGCTAGTCTTTGGTAGAGACAGCTCTGAAACTATATTTAAAAAAAAAAAAAAGCAGAGGTCATTGCTAATGGTGTATAACGATTTAAAAGACACAGTAGTCCTAGTGCCATATTTAGATTGAATTAAATTTGTTCTGGTCTGTCCACTCATATCAGATTTGAGGACACAGACCTCTAGAACCAAAAATAGCAGGTTATACCATGGTAACCATCCTTACTTTCCTATTGACTTAAGCTGAAATCCTGTATTACTTACATTGTCTTACTATGACTGATCTTAATTGTATCTGAATCATAAGACTATTGGTTGGCCTTGACTGATCCTATTTGAAATCCGTATGCGTGTTAGAATCAACCCTAAAAGTAGAGGAAACTACTCTGAGCATGACAGGATGTAAAGGATATCCATACTGGTATGAATCAGTAACAGCTCTCAAATACTACAATGCAGTCAAAGATAAGTTTTTATAAAAATAGGTGATAGTATATTTAACTATAATAAGCCAGTGTTGTCGACAAATCTATTGAAAATAACAAGAGAAAACATAGTAGCTACGGAAGATCATTTATATTATAGTTTTGTAAGTCTTATCCATTGCATGTTTATCTAGGAAATTGTTTCGCTGTCTTGTTATGACTTGGTTTTCCCTATAATACAGAGAGGATAGGAACAAATACTCTGAGGAAGAGACCTGAAAAACCCGAGGCTTATTTTGTAGCATTATAATATAAATTCTAGCAATCTATTGCTTGCTGATTAAAATGACTCTGGACTGGTTTCTTCAGCTCAACTTCAGCATATGCAGAGATGGGGACGGCTATCACAAAGAGAATGAGAGATGCGATGGTAGTTGGAAATGTCTTCCCTAATTTGGAACTTGAGGACCTAAAAAGACTCCATCATCCTGTAATGATTTGATTAGTTCTATAATATGCAATAAGTATAGAAAGTGGGTGAAGTTAGGGACAACTATCTGTAAGAAGCTAGAGACAGTTAGATAAGGTAGATCTCCAGTGGACTTGCTTTGAAATCTGTATTTCTTTAAATTGTTTTTTATTTTTTTTTAAATGTTCTGTTCTGTTTTGATATGGTTAACCTTATCCTCTTAGAGATGTAAAACAAATAGGTGGGACTGATAATCATATTACGGAGCTTTTGTTCGGCCATAGAGCAGAATGGTTTGTAGGGTCACTTTTTTGAATGTCATTCTAAATACTTTAATTCTATAACCTAAACAGCCATTTCGAAGAAGACAATTTGTAACTTATCAACTGGCAATTTCTTACCTTTTGTTTGTCTGTAATTTAGTATTATTTTTCTACCCTTTTTTTCTTTAATCCCCATGTATTTTTTTTTTCGTTTCCTTTTCTTTAAATAAAAAAAAAAAAAATACAAAAAAAAAAAAAAAAAAAAAAAAAAAAAGGAATAGTGGCATAGACTTTTCTGGCTAAGCATCCCTAACCTGAAATTCCAGATGCTCTAAAACTCTTTCAGTGGTGTCACCTCTCAAAAAATGTCCAGTTCGGAGCATTTTGGATTTTTGGATGAGGTCCATTCGGTCTGTACTGCCCAGTGAGAGGAGATTGGCACTGCTGACCTGATTGGTACAGTATCAACCACATTTTGACAAGATTGGCACTCAGATTATAAAATATGTGACAACGTGATGGAACAGTGACCATTCTAGGAACTTCAGTATCTAAAGGACACCATATTTTTTTCCAAACCCCTGTCACCACACACACACACATAAGCATTTTTGGTATGGTCCAGGTGGCCAATGAGTACAAAATCTCGATAGCACATGTTTGATGCTGTAGGAGGCGGTGACCTTCAGGGACGTGGCCGTGGTCTTCAGCGAGGAGGAGCTGGGGCTGCTGGACTCTGCCCAGAGGAAGCTGTACCGGGACGTGATGCTGGAGAACTTCAGGAACCTGCTTGCCGTGGGTGAGGCCCTCGCTGACCACTTGGCCCCCTCTCCCTGTGGAGGGTTTCTCCGTCTTGGTGCCGTTAACTTGGTGGTGTTTAGAGCGGGATAGTTTGTCACAGTCTAGTTAGTGGCACCCGTGGCCTCTGCATGGGACAGTTCCCCCAGTGAAATTCCTCGCAGCACTTTTCTTGTCCTGTGGAGTATAGAGACGGAGTCGCTGATCTTCATTCCAAGGCAAATTTGTCTTTGTAAATGAAGCACAAATGAACAGGAGCCCTCAGCAGTCCCCGGGTCCCTATTTCTCATCTCTTTATAAATCATAATCCACTGGTGGGTCATGAAATTTAGTAGCCAGCATTTATGTTGTGAAATAAGAGTGATATTGTCAGTGCCGCTGTGTCACAGCAGTAACTAGGTGATTGCGGTTAAAGCACACTGGTTAGAAACAGACCATTGCCGGGGGTTTAGCTCGGCGGCACAAGCTCCCATCTGGTAAGTGTGAGGTCATGAGTTCGATCCCCAGTACCACAAAAAACAACAGCAAAAACAGATCATTGAATCTCTTATTTCAGTAGTTTGTCTTTCTAATGTCAATAAGTGTATTTTTTGTACACTGTGTCATGATAAAAATGTTTAATATCTCTTGGTGGAGCAGAATAGAGGCTTATTTTCTGGGATGAGAACCAAAATTTTTCAGTACTTTTTTTTTTTTTGGTATCAGGAATCAAACTCAGGACCTCGCGCTTGCCAGGCAGGCGTGGTGACACTGAGCTGTAACCCTTCGGTACTCCCTGCCCTTAACATTTTCCTGTAAATCGTGTCATTTCACAGGACACCAGTCCTTCAAACCCGATATGATATCCCAGTTAGAGAGAGAGGGAAAGCTGTGGGTGACGGAGATCCAAACCCAAAGAGGTAGGCATTCGAGCAGGAGACAGCTGTGCTGCTGGGGCCCCGCAAGTGACCATCGCCGGCTCGGCCCCCGTTCGGAGTGGTCTCTTCCCCGCCTGCCGCCCAGAGGCCCTGGCTGTGGTCTCTGCCGCTCCGACCCTCCCCGCCTCCCTTTCACTCGGTAAACCCGGCCTGTCTAAGGTGCTGGAAGGTCACAAAGCTTCCTTCCTTCTCCTGACCTCACTGTTCCACATTCTTCTCCCGTCATTTCCCACTCCTTGGTCTCATCACACTCAAACATGATGATGATGTGTCACAGCCTTTTCCTTTTCTCTGACTGTAATCCAGTAACTTCCAGCCCTGACTCCATTCGTCCATCTGCTCAGAAGTCACTTCGTGAGCAGTCCCGTGTGTCCAGCCTGCTTACAATGCTTCCCTTCACTCTCTGTGCTCAACATGCTGTAAATAATGACCGAGCTCTGTCCCACCGGACTTATTCTCTTGTTGGGTTTTTAGTTGTACAATTGATAACACGCTTTAACATTTTAACCATTTTTGAGTTCACAGTGGTATTAACTTGTCATCACACTGTAGCTGTCTGTTTATAACTGTTAAGTCTTGGGGAGTTGAGTTTAATCAGTAAGTAACGTTCTTTACATCTTAATGCCCATTTTGTCTGATACCAGTACAGCTGCCCTTGCTTGTTTTTAATTATTGAGCGCAAAGCATCTTCTTCCACTTTTTCACTATAAACGTATTTATGTCTTTAGAGCAAAACTTATATTTGGTTCATAGTTCTTTTTTATCATACAGTCATTTTATTTTTAAAAATTTGTACACGATTCCAGAACACAATGCTCACATTTCTTCTGTGGAGTACGTAACAAATCATAATTCTTTCTTCATTCCCTTTTCTCCCCTCCCATTGAAGAAAGGTCTAGTCCCTGCTCCCTGTTACCTTTTATTTTGCTTGGTATGTATAATTTGGGCATCTTGTATAAGGGAAACCGTGCGATATTTAAACTTGTGCGATTCTTAGTTTTTAAATCCATCTTTTCAATCTGTGTTTTTGTACTGGAGAGTTTAATCTGTTAACATTTACAGCAAGACTTCCTGTCTCTGGAGGGCTTGCCTGAAGTGAATGAACTGGAGCGGAGGTCCACAGGCTATGGGAGAAGGGAAGTTTAGATTAGTGAAGGTGTTCCTTTCGTCTCTTAAGAGCGGTCTGGGCTGGTTTCGGGCTGCTCTGGGAAGTCTCCCCTGGGCTGGGTGCTCTCAGTTGAGATAGCCCCTCTGGCTTTGCTGGGATTGAACCCATCGCCAAGTAATTTTTTTTTCTTTTTGTCTTTTTCGTTTTTATTGGTACCAGGGATCGAACTCACAACTGCCTGCTTGCAAGGCAGGCGCTTATGCTGCTGAGCTAAACCCCCAGCCCCAATTTTTCATTCTGTACACTATGGTTGCACATGGTGACAACTGTTGGCATTTTGCATTTTGTTGTTACAGCATTTTTGTGGCTTTCTTAATGTTCTCTTTTGTCTTGTTCTTTTTTTTTTTTTTTTTGGTACTGGGGATTGAACTCATGACCTCGTGCTTGCCAGGCAGGCGCTTATGCCACTGAGTTAAATCCCCGGCCCTCTCCATATTTTCAAAAGACAGTCTTTCTGGACACAATATTCTCAGTTGACAGTTTTTGCTTTTTGCCAGCACTTTAAATCATCTCACTGCCCTGGCATGCAAGTTTTGTGCTGAGAAATCTGCTCATAATTTTCCTGAGGGCCCCTGGTGTGTGTCTCTGTCTCTGATGGTTCAGCTGGTTCCAGTGTGTCTTTCGGGGTTCAGTCTTAAAGTTTAAGCTTCTTGGATTTTCATATTCATTTCTCCTCCCCCGTGTGGGAGTTTCCCCTTTAATACATTAGCTCCCCCTTCTTCTGGGACCCCCGTTATGTGTTTATCATCTCTTTGGTGACAGTCCATAAATTCTGTCAAAATTGGTCATCAGTCCATTTTCAAGTTCACTCAGTTTTCTTCACATTTTTAATTTTTACCTCTGCTGATAGTTCTGTTTTGTTCATGCATCATTTTTGTGACTTTTTTTGGTGATCAATATTCTTCTGTAGCTCATTGAGCATATTAAAATAATTTTAAAATTACTGTCAGGTAAGTTATAGTTCAGTGCTCCTTTAAGTTTGAATCCAGAGATTTTATTTTGCACCTTTGAGTGAGTTCTTGTTCCCTGTTTCTTTGTATGTTGTCAATCTTTTGTTGACGATTAGGCACTTGATAAAAAGGCCCCCTTTCCTAGTCTTCGCCTTCTTCCTGTTTTTGAGGGAAGACCCTCACTGACCGCCAGGGTGTACTTTGAGCCGTGCGGTCTGCCCAGGTGAGCGCTGAGGTCTCCCGTGTTTTCTGTGCCTGGGTCTTGCCTGAGGTGGGTGTTTGCTTTTCCATCTTCCTCTCACACGCGATGCTTTTAAAGGTCCTAATTTCTCAGACACCAGACCCTGGCATCGCAGGGCCTTTGGTGTTCTGCTCTGTCCCCTCACCTACGCCTTCCCAAGGCTGTTGCAGGTCTGTGATCCCTGCTGTTTTGCTGAGTGGTGCCCACTGTTGCTTTCCAGGGCATCTTCTCATCCTGGCTGTGTGTCAGGCAAAGATCTCAGTGTTCATGTAACTCCCAGACAGGTTAGGGTAGTGCAAGTGAGGTGCTCCCTGTTCCCTCCAGGGAGGGCGCTGGACCACTGGTTCCTTAGCCCACACCACGAAAAGTAGGTGAGTAAACTGAACAGTGGATCCAGTAAGACACATGTTCAGAAGAGACCAGAGAAGACCTCAAGGCCTCACCCTGGGCCTCCTAAATTTCTTTTTTTTTAAATGTGGCTGTTTCTTGATTCAACATTTTCTGTGTTGCTATAAACCTTTTCAGAGTTCCTACACGTTTATTTTATTTTTGAGACAGGGTCTCTCTGTACAGTTCATACTGGCCTTGAACTCACTTTGTAGCCCAAATTGGTCTCAAACTTGCAACGATCTTCCTGCCTCAGCCTCCTAAGTGTTGAGATTATAGGAGTGCACTACCACGCCTGGCTCTACAGATTTATTTTAGCTTGCCTATAGTTTTTTTTTTTTTTTTTAATGTTGCCAAAGAGAAATAGAGACTTTGAGCTTCCTACTTTCTTCCTTGCTGATGTCACTTTCTGCCCTTAATTCCTTAATTTTTTTGTCCTTTCAGAAAGCAGAAACCCAATGAGGATGGAGATTCTTCATGAAGCAGGGTTGGGGTGCTTTTCACTGGCAGAACTTTCTCACTGGCAAATCAAGAGATGCGTTCTAAACAGACTAACCCAAAGTCAGGACTTCATAACAAGTACTCAAGGAAAGAATGCTTGGTTCCCCGAGCAGTGTGACTCCGCCTGCCATGTGGGAGTGGAAGAATCTTATCAGGCATCTGTAGAGGACAGCTGTCTCATGAGTCTTCTAGGGGATCATTCCAGTGTTACTGAAAATCAAGAATTTCCAACCAAAAGCACTCGGAGTCCTTGGAGTAAAATATATCTCAGTGAGACGCAGAGCCACCAAAAAAACTATAAGCCAACTCAGATGGAGAACCAGTTATGTATCTTGGTTCCATGTGTTGACATCTTAAGTTGTGTCTCCCAGCACCACGGTGATTCTGTACTGTTGGAAACAGATGAAGCTGACAGCGGCAGCCCTTGTGGTAGAGACATCCTGCAGATGTCCCCACTCACCCCACACTGTGTCCACAGCGGACAGAGACTGTGCCAGCGTAGGGAATGTGAAGCAGCTTTCAGTGACAGCTCCAGCCTTGAATGCCATCAGCAGGTGCACTTGGGAGAGAAGTCCCCTGGGTGCAGTGTGTCCGCGGAGGATGCCCGTTACAGTCCTCCTGGTCAACCGAACATCCACACGGGGAAGAAGCGCTACTGGTGTCACGAGTGCGGCAAAGGGTTCAGTCAGAGCTCCAATCTGCAGACCCATCAGAGGGTTCACACGGGGGAGAAGCCCTACACATGCCCCGAGTGTGGTAAGAGCTTTAATCAGAGCTCGCACCTGTATGCGCACCTGCCCATTCACACGGGAGAGAAACCCTACAGGTGTGACAGCTGTGGGAAGGGCTTCAGTCGCAGCACCGATCTCAACATTCACTGCAGAGTCCACACCGGGGAGAAACCTTACAAGTGTGAGGTCTGTGGGAAGGGCTTCACCCAGCGATCCCATCTCCAGGCTCACGAAAGAATCCACACCGGAGAGAAACCATACAGGTGCGGCGACTGTGGGAAGCGCTTCAGCTGCAGCTCAAATCTTCATACCCATCAGAGGGTCCACACTGAGGAGAAACCATACAAGTGTGACGAGTGTGGAAAGTGCTTCAGCTTGAGCTTTAATCTTCACAGCCATCAGCGAGTGCACACGGGAGAGAAACCGTATAAATGTGAGGAGTGTGGAAAGGGCTTTAGTTCAGCCTCCAGTTTCCAGAGCCATCAGCGGGTCCACACAGGAGAAAAACCTTTTCAGTGCAATGTGTGTGGGAAGGGCTTCAGTCAGAGTTCCTATTTTCAAGCCCACCAGAGAGTCCACACTGGAGAAAAACCGTACAAATGTGAAGTGTGTGGGAAGCGCTTCAACTGGAGCCTGAATCTCCACAATCACCAGAGAGTCCACACGGGGGAGAAACCCTACAAGTGTGAGGAGTGTGGTAAGGGCTTCAGTCAGGCCTCAAACCTTCAGGCCCATCAGAGTGTCCACACCGGGGAGAAACCATTCAAATGCGATGCGTGCCAGAAGCGGTTCAGCCAGGCCTCACACCTGCAAGCCCACCAGAGAGTCCACACTGGGGAAAAACCCTACAAATGTGACACGTGTGGGAAGGCCTTCAGCCAGAGGTCAAATCTTCAAGTCCACCAGATCATCCACACCGGTGAGAAACCGTTTAAGTGCGAGGAGTGCGGGAAGGAATTCAGCTGGAGCGCGGGTCTCAGCGCTCACCAGCGGGTCCACACTGGAGAGAAGCCCTACACGTGTCAGCAGTGTGGGAAGGGCTTCAGTCAGGCCTCCCACTTCCACACCCACCAGAGGGTCCACACCGGAGAGAGGCCTTACATCTGTGACATCTGCTGCAAGGGCTTCAGCCAGAGGTCACATCTGGTCTACCATCAGCGGGTCCACCCCGGAGGGAACCTGTAGGACTGAGATGTGAAGAAGCCTTGACTGCCTACACAGCCTGCTTGGCTGTGGGAGGACCTCGGAATTCAGAGGCTCTTAAATGCTGTGCTTTAAGACTCTCATTAATTCCTTACCAATTTAACAGATTTAACAGAAGAGAGACTTACTTGTTCAATAAATGTGGTCAGTTTATACAGACTTCCAAAGTGTCACCATTCTCAGGATGAGATACAGCCGGAGAGAGGCCTTATGAATGAAGATTCGGGGCAGGACTTTACTGAAATTATGATTGACAGAACCCATGTCAAGGAAAGTGTAACTCCCACTGGGAGGTTCTCCTCACCGTGCCTCTGCCGTGCAGAGCTACGCTCGGCTCAGAACAGGGCCTACAGTTTCGGAAGGAAGGGAAAAATCCGTGTAATTAGGACCTGGGTATAAAGATGCTGGTCGTCAATTTATATTCATAAGGAATCCTGAAAGTAGCCTTAATAACAATTTCAGAAAAGCATACAGTATTGAAAATTAGCACTCCTTAGTGACAGTTTCAGGAAATAGGTATGAGGAGTCAGTACTGCATCCACAGTAGCACAGATTTGGACAAAGGACACAAATCTCTCCCAACCATCACAGTCTATGATCAAGTGTGAAGTGTATCAATCATATAGTGTAATTTTTGGTATTGTTTGTACTTTATAAACTGAAAAGCACTTTTTTTTTATTAATGTGACACTACATTTTATACGATTAGAATTTGGGGGCCCTAATTCATTAAAGTAACTGAAAATGGTCAAAGTGGTTACTGACTGTGACTGGGTCAGCCTGTTTTGTGGTGCTGTGACAAAATCCCCAAGACTGGGGAATTAGACTGAATAGAAATTGAACTTTTACAGTTCTGGAGTCAGGCCCTGGAAGTTGAAGGTCCAGGGGTCTGCAGGAGACAAACTCCTCTCTAGTGCATTCTGTTTCCTGGCAGCACATAGTGGGCCAGGAGGGGGTGAAGGGGGTGCTGACTCAACCCCATGATGAGGACCCTGTTCCCACAATAGCAGCATCCGTGGCTCAGTTATCTGTCACCTCTTAAAGGTCTCACCTCAACACTGGTATTAAGGATCGAATTCTCAGCATCGGAACTGCAGGGGACACAGTCAACCGGTAGGACCTTAGTTTTGTCACGTTCTGTCGATGTCCGCTCCCGGCCGGCAGGAAGGACACACGACAAAGTCTGGTAGTGGACAACCTTTTCTTTTTATTTTCCTTCTCCGTACAGCCTGCCCTGGGTTCTCCCAGCTGAAGCCTCCTCTGGTCCGCTCCCCGCAGCTCCTTTTGTGCTTCAGTCTGCCCCAAAGCCTCTACCGGTCCGCTCTCCGCGGCTCCTTCTGGGCTTCTACTTCCGGGCTTCTACCTGGCTTCTTCTTCCGCCCAGGGGTGGCACCGGTATATATACGGGTACAGTGTCCAATCATGTTAAAGTAAGCAAGGCAAGCTGATTGGCTAACATCATCAGTTGCCAGGCAGACTATATTGTTGAGCGGGTTGTTTACGCGGTAAGCAGGAAACTAACATATTCGATGGGAGGGGTAATCTACCTCAGGCTTTGCTCTTTACCACAGGCCGCACGTCCGCCGCGCAAGGCGAGCTATCACAGACGCGGCTCCCAACATCTCCCCCTATTTTATTTTTTATGAATGTGCGCATCGTAGCCCTTCCTGGACTGGGTGCAGAGGCTTATGCCCTATGTATAGGCCCACCGTAGGTCCTTGGCTTAGACCCTGGTTGGCCATGCCATGGTCTGCCAAGGCCCTGAGGCCCTCGTCCTTTTTCTAGGGCCAGGCACAAACTGGACGGAACCTGGATGCACACAAGCTTGCACTCATTTCCTCTCCGTAAAGAAATCCCCTCGGAGAGAAATTTAGACCTGGGCAGCATCTAACAGTCCAGCGGCTTACGTGCAGGATGGGGTAGGGCCTGGCTTAGGTCGAGTCGTGCTGGGGAGGCACGCTCTTACCCGTCATTGACTCACCTACCCTGCTGTGTATTGTCACCTTATGGAGGAGAATGAGGGATGCCCGCCATATCTAGACTCGGTCGTGGGCCAATTGAGCAAGCCATGCATATGCCTGAGGATCTTCTTGTCCATTTCGGGCTACCGCTATTTCTATTCATCTTGTTGGTTGGTCTGTGATGGATCTCCGGTAGGGCAGGTCTGATCTTCAGTCGCGGGCTTTGTCGCCCGTGTCAGTCTCTCCGGTATCCACAGTGGTTCTCGTCCCGATTCCTGTGGGAAAACACAAACCGCGCCTCGGTTCCAGCTGACCACTGGATCCGGGCCCATCCATTGTCCTGTCAGGACATCTTTCCACTTCACCCACCCTTTATGGTTGGGGGAAGGGTTGCAGTGCTCCACAGCTGGGGAGCGATTATCATTATTTAAATTTAAAAAATTGTGTGTGAATAGTGCCATGGATAATCGTGCCTTTGGGGCCAGGCCTTGGCGTACTCCCCCTTTTTGTTTTTGTAAAATTTCTTTGAGGCTTCTATGAGCCCTCTCAATGATTCCTTGACCTTGGGGATTGTATGGGATACCATGTTTTAATTGAACCTCCATCATTTTGCAGAACTCATTGAAGGCTTTGCCTATATAGGCTGGTCCATTATCAGTTTTTAATATTTTTGGTTTGCCCCATGCGGCCCAAGCTGCCAGGCAATGATTGATCACATTAGACACTTTTTCACCTGTTTCTGCTGTTGCGAATATGACGTGAGAACAGGTGTCTGTGGAAACATGAACATATTTAAGAGTCCCAAACTCCTGTATATGTGTGATGTCCATCTGCCAAACATCACCAGGGATCAAACCTCGAGGGTTTACTCCCATCGGTATGGCAGGTTTGTATGTGGCACAGGAGTCACACAGTCGCACGATATCTCATGCATCTGCTCTAGAAACATGGAAATGGTTTGCTAGTGTCCTGGCATTAACATGAAATTTATCATGGAAGGCACGGGCTCGCTCGATTGGTGTTAGTAAGGTAAAAATCTATAACGGGCGAGTGGCAGTGTCAGCAGCCGCATTCCCCTGTGCCATGGGCCCTGGCAGGGATGTATGTGCTCTTATGTGGGTGGTGAAGACCTTATGGTGTCTGTTCTGAAGCAATGTCTGGATAGACAGGAACAGTCCAGCCACTGTGGAAGTGGATCTAATTAAACTGGCAGTCTCAAGCACTTGCATAGCATTGACCACATACCTAGAATCGGAGACAATGTTAATGGCTTCTGAGAACCGTTCAAGAATCATTTTAACGATCTGCAGTTCTACCACCTGAGGCTGATCTGGTTTAAATTGTATGGTAACCGGGGGCTTGCCTAGGATCACATAGGCGCCTATCCCCGTCTTGGAGCCATCTGTGTATATTGTAGTTGCTGGGACTAATGGCTCAGAGGCAGTAACCTTTGGAAAAATTATAGGGTGCTGAGTGACAAATGACAAGATAGGGTCTTTAGGGTATTGATTGTTTATATCCCCATGGAAAACACATCTCAGAATGGTCCAGGTATCTATGCAGGCAGCCAGGGTCTTGATCTGGCTGGCGGTATAGGGTACTCGGATGGCTTGTGGTCCTGAGCCAAAATGTTGGACAGCTCTATCATGCGCTTCAAGGGCCAATGAAGCGACTGCCTCCGGGTAATGCTCTATGACTTTTGCAGGTGAGACCTTAGGGTGTATCCACAGTAGTGGTCCTTTCTGCCAAATCACCGCTGTAGGCTGTAGACTAGTCTGTAGCAAACAGACATCAAAGGGTCGCCCTGGTTCAATTCTGTGTAAGGTAGCCCCACCTAAGGCTTTTTCCACTCTCTGTAAGGCAGCTCTTGCCTCAGGAGTGAGCCTCCTGTGGGAGGCTATATCTGGGTCTCCCTTCAGAAGGTCGAACAGGGGTTTGAGATCTGAATTTGGTATATGTAAATATGGCCTAATCCAATTAATGTCTCCCAATAGCTTTTGCATGTCATTTAGGGTCCTAACGCCATCCATCCTAATGGTGACCTTCTGTATAAGTCTGGAGGCGACACTGAGGTCCACACCTGCTGACCCAGGGGTGGCCCTTGTTGAAGGCTGCCATCCTGAGCTGTCCTGTCTCTGGGGCGGGGGCCCGCCTGTGAAGGGGGCCCCCTCTGGCCGTTTTTTGGCCCTGTAGCATCTTGTCCACAAATACAGTTGCCCTGAGCATCAAAGACCGACCTACACTCCTCAGCTTTGTGTGATCCCTTTTTGCATCGCCCACAAACATATGGTTCTTCATTCCTAGGGCGAGGCCTAGCATCTGCATTGTTTGGGCAATGACGTTTAATGTGTCCTGGCTCCCCGCAGGCAAAACACCCTTTAGCCTTACATTCCCCTTCTAACCCGCGAGGTCCCCTCTGCTGTACAGCCGCGGCCAGGAGAGCAGCCACTCCCGAGTTGGAGAGCGGCCCCCCTATCTCTCTGCGTATCCTAATCCAGGCGTTGAGGTCCTTGTTCTTATGAGGAGCTATCGCTGCCTTGCACTCCTTTGTACATTGCTCAAAAATCAGCTGTCTTACCAGCGGTTGAGCCACTCCGGGATCAGGAAATATCTTATCGGCAGCATCTTGCATTCGGGCCACAAAGTCAACAAATGGCTCTGTGGTACCCTGAATTATTTTTGAAAGACACAAGGAGGCTGTTCCGGCACCACTTACCTGTTTCCAGGCGCGGAGCCCTATGGCATTGATTTGTTCATAGACAGCGCCGGGGAACTGGGTCTGGTCATCAGCGTGCCGACCTTCTCCCATAAGCATTTCCTTGTTCCACCCCCGGTTTCCCCGATTGGCGTTTCTCTCAGCCTGCTCTGCAGAGAACTCTGCGTACCAGGCTCGCCAATCCAGGTAACTGCCCGAGGGCAGACACGCCTTTGCCAGCTGAATCCAGTCCGCGGGGGTGAGGGGCCCAGAAGACAGATTCTCCAGCATGGCAATGGTGTAAGGCGCAGTCGGCCCAAAGGTTGTAACTGCATTTTTAAGTTCTCTAATCTGCTTTATCTCAAAAGGCTCCCATACATTGCGTCCCTGGCCCATAGCTACTTGTACAGGAAATATCCCGTAGGGGCCACTATCTATCCCAGGTGGATGTACCTCATGAGACAAGCGTCCCCCCTGCCAAAGCCGCCTGTAAAAATACCGACCCGCCGGCGGCGGAGCATAAGACAGCGGCCGTGATTGGGCGGAAAATGGGGGCCCGTGCATCACTTCCTGTTCTGGCGAAAGGGGAGGGAGCTCCCAGGCGGCCGCCTCGTGGCGAGGGATCGCCTCCCTCTCGCGCCGGGGAGCGCTCAGGAGCTCTCTACTCCTCCGCAGACCAGGTTGAGCAGAGCGCAATTCGCGGGGCAACGCTGGAAAAGAACCCTGCGACTCCTTATTGAGCGATTTAGGCTCCTGACAGCTGGTCTCTTTGGCCTCCTTGCCATTCAACTTTCCCTCGTCCTCGGAGTCAGACGACTCCGAGGCTAGAGCCCCGTCCTCCTCCTTAGCATCCTTGTTCCCCTTGACGGACCCCTCTCGGGAGCTCCCTGACTGGGCCTGCTCAGATACCCTGCGTACTTTTGTAAGCTCTTGAGAGCTTTCTCCACAACCACCCTCGCTCTTAGTGTTGCCACCTAACATGTTTCCCATCTTTTAATATGTTACTCACCGCGTGAGGCCCAAGGAATCCGCCACTTACGCGTGAGCCTGAGGGGAGTCTAAAAGCCCTGTAGGTGCGCGCCACCCAGAGCCCAGGC